CAGGAACCTTGGACAGAAGTAAAGGAAGCCCGATGCCTCACAAAGATACATCCAGCCTGTGAAACGCACTCTCCCGTCGACAACTGGGAGAACAATGACACGCGGCCAAGGGTTATGACGTATGTCCGCAAAAACTCGCACATCCTTGCTGATCAGAAACGACCTGCAAGCACCCGTGACATACTGTGGTTGACAGTCAATGGAATAACCATTGTGAACGTGTATCGCCGGCCCTCCTACGACGCCGCGTTGGACATTCTGCTGCGGTGGTCTCCGCCTGAGAGATGTCTGGTGGCAGGCGACTTCAACGCGAAACACTACTCCTGGCAGACTGGGAGGCCGAAACATTACTCCTGGCAGACTGGGAGGCTGGCGGGCCGCGGGGACGACATCGCCGCTTGGGCGGCCGAGAGCGGTCTTGGCCTCTTGAATACCGCTGATGTACAGTGGGGGGCATTTCGCGTGATGATGACGTTGATGTGGAGCGTTCACAGACTTTCGGCCTCCTACTGTACCCACAAACCCCCCATGGCAACACAATCGACGTCGCGTTTTCCAACATCGACCTGGCCTCGGCAGTAGTTGAGGATCACCTCGCCACGAGCTCTGACCATTTCACTTTAAGTCTTACAATCCTAAATATTACTCTGGCGCTTACTGGAACGCTAGGTAAGGTGTGAGTAATCGGTGGAGAGGAGCTGCAACGCTTCAAGGAACTCGTCGAGGCAGGTGTCTGTAGACTCCCGGCCGCACCACAACAGCCTCGGAGCTGGAGACACTAGCTGAATCGCCCGTCAATCTTCTCCATCGGCTGCCAAGGCAGCGGGACGACCTGTACGGAAGGGAACGCGAAGCGCCCCTTGGTGGACCGACGAATGTGCTGAGTCCGCAGCAGAGTATCGCGCCGTACGAAGGATCTTCCCCATGGGCTTCAACGAGGAGGTGCAAGCAGCAAGAAAAGCGTTCCAAAATGTGGTCCGTCGGGCCAAGCGTCAGTACTGGCGCAACTTGATAGACGGCTTCTCGGATAGTGCAGCGGTGTACAAAGCAGCTCGCTGGCTTAAATCACCGGGCGCCTTTCAACCGCTACCGCTCCAAATTGACGGTGTAGTGTACGAAACGCAAATGGATAAAGCGAACGCTCTGAGACGTAGTGCAAATGGATAAAACGAACGCTCTGAGACGAAGTACGCTGGAACGCCGCACGGCAGCAGACGACATCGACGACCCGTGGATCCCAGTTTGTCCGCCGCGTCAAATACCATTTGCTGCTGGGCTCACTCTTGCGGAGGCAGAAGATGCTACCACCAAGACTGGCAAGACCTCGCCAGGAGCAGACAACATCACCGTCAAGATGCTGCGAACAGTTTGGGACATCAT